GGTTAACGAGGGTGAGAAGAAACTTACCTATATATCTATTCCATTTACATATATATGTTTATGTAGTAACTTACTTATGTATCTATTTCATTTATATATATTTGTATGTATATGTAGCTACTTACGTATATATCTGTTTCTATTTATATATATATATATATATAAAGTTACATGACTTTGATATATCAGGTTCTTTTATTACAAAATTGTGATTGAGATAGGACTTCCGTGTGTATGGCATAGATGTATTTGTTTGCTTTGTTTACTACAATAGTAAGTTCGTTCGCTTTAAGTTGGTCGCCTTACTTCCGGTGCAACAGTGAAACAAACGCGAACGGGATAAATCTGATGTGGCTGCAGTATTGGTATACCGATGGGATCCACTTGATACTGTGTTGTGTATATTTCATGTGCCTGGGCAATACCTACCATGGCTGACGTGTAATTCGTTTGATGTCTTGGGTAGTCTACGTTGGTCGGTCGGTCGCCTTATCTCCGGTGTAACAGTGAACCTAGAGCGTGGTGATACTTCTGTATGTACGACATGAATGCAATGGTTTGGTTTGATAAACCTTTCAATCGTGCGAAGTCCCAGTCCTTGTTAGTGTTCGCTTTGTACGACGGCCTACCCTGAGATTCTCGGTACTTTGAGTGTATGAGCCACCTACACACTCACCGTTGTGTATGTAGAGACCAGCCAACAGGTACAGCCTTACTGCATTATAATCAGTGCTATGCTGCAGTCTGGGTGATTGCGATGTGGCGTAGCGGACCCGTAATAGCGCAGTTACCATCAAGGAGGTTTCAGTTGTACTTCGGCTGTTAGATGGCTTACTATTTTTCACACCTAGCCCCACTGTACTTCACAGTATACATGACTCCGTATATATATATATATATATATATTAAATATATATAAATATATGAGACCGTGTGATATGTCATGCACTGGCTTGTACGCACGGATACGCTTCGCAATTTCTATGCCCATGATCACGGAACCACAGTTTTTAAGCAATGAACGTTATTGTACGAATGATTCGGGAAAATATACTACAAATTCAGATGTCTGAATCTGTCTGAGAAAACACTAAACGTATATAAAATCCATGATTCCGTTCGGGCAAGTACACTCACAGATCCTGAACCTCTATATACATTACGTTCTTCCGATAGATGGGGGCAAATCCTCCCCAAGTCCGGGCAGGCTGAAGCCTACTAAACGCAGTACACCCCCAAGGCACTACTACGGCAGCGTGTACTTCAGGTGCGTGCATGGGTGTTGGGGTCGTGTGCACATTCTTTCCGCCTGCCGTCGAGTTACTTCATTTTGTCTTTCATTATTATCGTATGTTTACCCAATCATCCTCGATATATATATATATATATATATATATATATATATGTGTGTGTGTGTGTGTGTGTGTGTGTGTGTGTGTGTGTGTGTGTGTAGATATTGTACATTTGTAGCTTAGGCATAGGCACATGTCTTTGGAACTGTGTTCCATGCGCCTGTGAGTATTAACATTAGCGTTGAAACGGGCTCCGGATAGCTCAGACCATAGCAGGCGAGGCAGGCAAAAACTTTGTGTATAACATAAACACATATAAGCAAATCACATGGAGACCATCAGGGGGCGTGAACTATATCTTGTACTTCTTGTCTATCTAATTCAATAACACACTACGCTGCGATACCTACCAGAAATAGAGAGGTTTGTCTACCTATCTATAGGTATACACCACACATTCATAGGTCACACAACACATATATCAAATTAAACTATTAAGGGGTTGTTGGATTTCTTATTTTCATCATGCAGACAAGTGCCTGACAGCACACTACGCCGGGGGTTTTACCAGAAGTCGGTGGTAGTCATATCAAGGTATCCGTACGTGGGTCTCGCGAACGAAATCGTAAAGACTATCGCACCTGAGTACTTCAAGAACGGACAGGCCGTCTTAAAGGTCAGTTGCATGTGACGTATGCAGGTCTCGATTGCTGTATTGTATTGTATGGTATTGTATGGTATTGGGTTGGGTTGGGTTGGGTTGGGTTTTGTTTGGTCGGGTTGGGTGGGGTTGGGCTGGGTTGTACTTGTATCTTAGTGAACTGTATTGTATGAAGCCGGATGTTTGTTACAGTGCATTTTGGTTCATAGGGTGTACTAGTTCGTTTTAGTGCGTATTAGTTTGTTATAGTGCGTATTAGTTTGTCCTGGTGTGTATCCGTTCCTCAGCAAAGGAGGCCGCGCTTCACTCTTCATGAAAGGTGTATTGCACCAACATTAACGTACACAGTTTCTATTCGCGTTGTGCTCCTATATCTATTCTTCTCAGTTGGTCTGTCCAGCGGCAATGTTCTGTATGCTCCTATTAAATCAATCATGCTATAATGATTTTTTTTTAAACAATCATAACATAGTAAATTTCTATTGCACCAATCATACTATAATAAATTCTTATTAAAGCAACCATATTATAGTATGTTCGTATTAAGCCAATCATACTATAACAAATTCCTATTAAACCAGCAATAGTACAATAATTCTTAATAGAGCAATCATACTATAGTAAGTTCCTATTAAACCATTCATATTATAGTAGGCTTCTATTGAATCGATCATACTATAATAAATTCCTATCAAAACAATCATACTATAATAAATTCATATTAAACCAATCATACTATAGTAGGTTCCTATTAAACCAGTCATACTATAGTAAATTCCGATCAACCCAATATCGCACTATATGAGAGTGTACATGTAGTGATGTGGCATCGATCTCTCTATTCGTACAGGGCTATATTAGATCGCGCACGCTCGCCGATGCTACATCACACCGAACACTATAAATAAAACTCATATCCACAGCTACATCACACCTGACACTATAAATAGAACTCATATCCACAGCTACATCACATCTAACACTATAAATAGAACTCATATACACAGCTACATCACGCCTGACACTATAAATATATCTCATATCCACAACTATATCACACCTGACACTATAAATAGAACACATATCCACAGCTACATCACACCTAACACTATAAATAGAACTCATATCCACAACTCCATCACACCTGACACTATAAATAGAACTCATATCCACAACTACATCACACCTAACACTATAAACATAACTCATATCCACAACTACATCACACCTAACACTATAAATAGAACTCATATCCACAACTATATCACACTTAACACTATAAATAGAACTCATATCCACAGCTACATCACACCTGACACTATAAATAGAACTCATATCCACAACTACATCACACCTGACACTATAAACACATCCCCTCTCTACATGCGACCTACGGTACATCCGATACACACAGCAAGCGATCGATGATACGGCCCAATGGCCGCGCACACTGCAGCCTGGCGTGCACGAGCTCAGTCTGCTGGGCGAAGACATCCGTGCCAGTGTTGGGGCAGAGACATACAACTCCACAGACTTTCTTATTGGCGATCTCTTTAAATCGTCCTACTCAGCTGTGCGGGAGGTGGAGGTTATGCGGACGGTATGTGCGGGCCGGGTTGGCGTGGGTGTGTGTGTGTGTGTGTGTGTGTGTGTGTAGTGAGCTATCTACTGTGTAGGTATATGTATATGTGGTGAAGGATGTATGTGTGATACTGAACTATTCACTGTGTATATAAGTATGTACTCTGTCCGTTAATAATAGCAGAATAAACGTCTACCAATAATCATATGTTGAAATGCGTGTACAATAATCCACGGACACCTATCTATCACTTGCCACACGCACACACTACGCATACCCTGGACGTGAAGCACTCGTCGGTCCGTTAAATCTGCTGCATACACACACATATTCCCATGCACACACACAAACACACACACATATATATATATATATATATATGAATACCATTCCTGAACCTACAGTGTTTAGGTCACAACAGCCGTGGGCTCGTGTGTTAAACCTGGGGGGTACAGATATTTCTTCATGTTCAACTAACCTCGGGTAGATGCGCACACCCCACACATGTGATATCCCCGTTATAGAAGTGGTTAACCAACTTGCTACTACGAGGATATCACAACACTGTAACCCATTAGGCACGAGTAGACACGAGTCCCCTTGTCCCCAGAACTCGGGAGCGCTGGGACAACACGCTAGATCGCAGCTTTGTGATAACCCCGTAGTAGGAGTATTTAACACCACACACTCAATATCTCTTCACATAGCCATACCTGTGGTTTATATGTTCACTTTGCTTTCCCTTTTACACTAATAGTGTACACTGACCTCGCAGTTTCAGTACATGCTATCGGACATGTGGCTGATATGGGAGCTGGTGCTAACTGGCCAACCTATCGTGGTCAGTTCCGATTCTCCCGCCAGGTATGGTGTGGTTTCTGTTTATTTATATATATATATATATATATATATATATGTTGTGTGTGTGTGTGTGTGTGTA